TTTTGCCGTATGAGTATACGTTGCCCAGGGTGCATCACGTGGAGGCAAGTCTATCGCACACCCCCTAATGGCAATAAAGGAGTTAACAGAGAACAAACACAACAGGAATGAAATATCAGCACTGTGGGCAGGTAACTAGACAGGCGCCGAAATTCACGCACTTCATGTGATTCCTTATACGCGGAATGACATAAATTATTAATGAGGTTAATGAGACATCACGTAGGAGAATCGATATCACAATGTAAGTATAAGCTTAGGAATGAAACAATCATTTAGGGCACAACGAGGGAGGCAAATCTCCATATATAGGCTTAATTGTTCAAGATTACGGAAAGCCGCTGACATACTGTAAAGTTCAAAAATCCACTGTGACTTCTTTTATTAGATGAATTCTACTGCAATTTCGGATAATTAAAATGTGAATATAATAGGGCAATCGCCAGGCATGAAGATATTCGAGATCGTGATTTTTTGTCCCATAACACATTACTTACATCTCAGTTGTCTTCCCAAAAGGAACCTGATTTCATTTTGAGTTTAAACTTAATGGTTGATAAAAGAGCCTGAACTCAGTGATTGAAAAGCAAGGATAGTGATTGATAATTGCAGTCCTCGATACACAGACCCATAAAAATCAGGTTCAAATCTAAAGGTTCGGACTTATAGGGAATGATTGAGCATATTTCGATTCCAAGATAACTTTTTAAACTACCTGTTTAAAGCATGCATTTAATCCCCGATTATTATTTAATACGTTTAAATAAACGCAAAAGGATGTTACTTTAATGGGTGAGACTAACCTTGATGGCCTCTGCATTTTTCTGATTGGAGGGATCTTGAATAGTCTGCTTCGTCAGGCAGAATTGAATCGCAAGATTTATAATAGTGAAAGACACAATGCATCCAGCAGAAATAACGGCGATTCCATAACCGAAATTGAGGTACTGATATGAAATAAGAAATGAATTACTTTAATAGTGAAATTAAGAATTTCAGGATTTATAACGTCCCACAATTGTATATTTTTGGGTAAAAAATATCATTTGCTTTTACATTACGAAAATAAAACTTCAGGTAATGTAATTATCACTTACAATAATGCCGAGTATGAATATTGAGATGAAGAATGTAGGAAGGATGAAAATGGCAATAATCATTGAAACATAATACAAGATTCGAAGGCAGAAATGTAATGCTCTGATAAGAGGATTATCTTCGTTCAGATTAAACACAGGGCCTTCACCGCGAAGGAAGGGTATAATAGAGTAGACGATATTGTGAATTGTCAAATTTAAAATTCTGAAAGAAGCAGTTGATGTAATCGAATTGAAGTCTTGTTCAAACATTCCAAATAAATTTCCTAAATGAATAGCAGAAGGATTCATAAATTGAATAATATTTTCAAATACCAGGTATACAAAGACCAGATACAATATAAGATCCCATATTGGAGCTAATCTTATGGAGAAAATCAAAATAATATCGTCCAGCGTTTTGAAGGCTTCTAGCACTATCGGCGACAATACTTAACGGCCAAGCATTACCAATCAGATATTCCTATAATTATGAAAACTACAATCATTAAGAATAAAGAACGAGAAAATTAAGGAATGACAAATAAAAAAATACAGACCATATCGAGCGATAGGCTAAACGCCAAGATCAATTTTGTGAAAATTGGCCTATGTTACTGATTATTAATAGAATTAAACAAGAAAAATTGTAACCAAATTTCAATATAAATATGTAAAAAAATTATTTATTTTACTAATTTTTATTGCATCATAGTCATGATTATTTTATGAATAAATTTAATGAAACACAATTCATTTTAAAATTTTATATCAAATGACTGGCTTTATGATAGTTATCATAAGCACTTCAGGCTTCGTAAAGGAAAAGGGAAACATCAAGATCACAAAACGTAGAGAGTAGGAACAGAAGAGCGGTTCACAGACGTAAAAGAGGCAGACACAAAGGCAAAAGAAAAGGTAAGGTGAGTACTGTAAAAGTGGTGGAATATGACATAAGGGGGTGGGGGTATGGTAGTTTGAAGTCAGGAGTCAACTTCCAGCTTATACACTTTTTGTCGCATGATTAAACGTTGTCAAGGATGCACCATTTGCAGGTAAGCCCATCGCACTCTCCTATTTGCAACATAAGTATCGATCTTGAATGCGCTGTTTTGCGGACTAGATTAACTTGCTAAGAACGTGTTAAAAAATCTAGTCCATTATGTTGCCATGACACTTTGGTAGTGGCTGAGAGGGCGTCCCATTTTACCGATGGACACATTAGGTTTACTGATTTTTTAAATAGTGGAGCAGGGAATTCTTTCATTTTTCATTACTAAAAGAGAAAATCACAAAGAAATTATAGTTTCTTTAAGATTGCGTGCTATTTAGATGATATGCTTGAGAGTTAAGGATTTAATAGAAACTAACTTTATTGGAGTTCCAAAATAGCTAAAATTTTTCATAACTTAAACTTGGATATATTTCAGACTCATCTTCTCTCTTTAAAACCTCTTATAGGGGAACCAAGATAATCGAAAAAGCTCATTTGATTTGACTTGTGATAATAAATTGGATATATGATTGATAGAGATTTATTTCGACTTACATCCCGGCAGTTTCCCCATTTACCATTCACACAGAAAAAGTGTCACAAATAAGTTTTGAGATTTAAAGTGGCTGCTAAGCCTTAGAAATCGATTGAATTATTAGATATAGACAATCTGCATAGCTTAGATTTCTTGTCTCAGCCATTCGAAACCGGAAGAAATCGATAATCGTAATTTTAAAACTTTACAGGTTACGTATACTTCCTCTGATGTTAAAACATGTATTAGGGACCTTATATTAGCCCCTTGTTTAAAATTTTCTCCGCCTAGTTAATATTTCATTCGAGCATCTGTTATAAATTTTTGAGATATTAGGCCAGTTTCGAATGCATTTATATATGTTTCGGGGCAGTTTAAGTCATCAGAATTGTACATGTTAAACATAAAGAAATAAAGGTTTTGTAAAAGAACGTTTCATCTCAAGAGGCCAATTATGTATGACCGTCAATACCTCAGCGTGATGATTGACAGCTGTGTTATAGATGAAATCTATGGTCTTGAACACAATAAGAATGATAGATTTATTCTCTTTACAAATAAATGGGCAATCATCTTAAATATTCATACTCATTAATTCTCATAATCAATACTTTGAGATGCCAGTGACGCTAATTAGAATTTACGTTTGAAAAAAGTTTATCTTTCATGTAAACGAAACAAAAATGAACTGGGCGTTTATATTTCAACTGTTATTAGTCCCTAAGAAATTTTACCATTTAACTTCACATTTATGTAAGTGAAATTTAACGACCTTTCGCGTACCGCGCTATCGAGATTAGCTCATTCAGCTTTCGTAGTTCCACCACTACAAATCAATCGCTTTTATTCTGAAAAGTGATCGAAATTATCACCTAATGACGTAGTCCACTCTTTCAAATTCAACGGAAAAGGGGTGTGCGATAGACTTACCTCCATGTGGTGCACCCTGGGCAACGTATATTCATACGACAAAAAAGTCTATTAACCGGCATTTGACTTCTGACTTCAAACTACCTTCACCCCACTCTATGTCATATTCGACCCCTTCTACTGTACTCACCTTACCTTTTTCTCTACTTTGTGTCTGTCTGCCTCTTTTACATCTGTGAATCGCTCTTCTGTTCCCCACCCCTCGACTTTCTGCTACTTTGATGAACCTTCCCTCTGTGAAGCCCGAAGTCAGCTAAATGGCTAATGATATCTATGAAAACGTCTGCCATT